GTTTAGAGAGCCCCCGTGTGGCCAGACTTCACATGGCAAGCTGTCGAGCTGTTCGCGCAGATTTGCTAAATAAAAGGCTTCTCTTGTATGGATTTTTGTTTGTATTTGATAATATGGCAATACACGTTGGTGTTTACATGTTTCATGTGTGCATGTATTTTTTTTTCTGCTTTCGAAAATGTGTTTGACTAATATGGTACGACGGGTTGTCCCTATTCTGATGTCACTAATTGCATGAAATACCTTCGGTAATTTGAAATAAACCTTTCGGACCCGATGAATTGTGAAAAGCTGAAATCTATATTTTGTCGCGGCTGCAATTTTGAGTAATTCTAGACGTATTCTAGACATTTTGCTGACGGTTCCTACAATTATTCGTTGGCTTTATTTCAAAAATATTTTCATAAATGTTTAAGACGCATCAGCTTGTGTTGTCAATTGTGGAAAAGGGCTTTTGGTTCGGTTTGAATAAAAAATAGTTTCGATCACACTGATTCCACCTTTTAACAGTCGAATCGTCAGCAAGATAACATTTTTTTTTTTTATGAATCCTATCCAAGCGCCTAAAAATATATACTCATCTGAAGCAGATTGATTATTTCTAATCATTTTGACGTTGAAAAGAATAGATCTATATATTTTTTATTTCTCTCCCTCTCCATAGATTTATTACAAAGCAGTTCGGGATATCGATGCAGGGGAGGAGCTTTTAGTGTATATGAAGGACGGCATTTTCCCGGAGGGATCCATGGCACCCAATTTACAAGGTAAGGAGACCAATGCGTCTCATTAGCGCATATTTTAAACTAAATCCAAAACTGCGGCCTGTTCTACTTGGGCGCCCATCAGCTACCACTGCTGGGCACATTCGGACGGGGGAAAGAGAGAATCCCTCGTTCGTTCGTTTCCTCAATAAATGTAAATTATTCCAATCGTATTTAAAAAAAAAAAAAAAAAACTCAACGGCACTAAAAGTACATATTTTATCCGACTTGCCAATAACGGCGTTGAATTGGATTTGTTTTATTTCACAGAAAGCCCACAGAAATAATTCATTGACACTTGCTTTAGATTTCAACGTTGTAATTTACTGTCAACCTCAGAGTTTAAAAACGTCTACAGAGTTCAAATTCATCATAAGAAATTATTCGGACACTTGGAACATTTTTATACTGTTTTCATTTTATGTTTGAAAGAAAATATTTGTGAAAACCTTTTAGAGAAATTATTTCTCCTCAAAAAAAAAAAAACAATGTTCCCCATTGTTTTTTTTTTTCTTCAAAACAAATCCTTTTGTTGCTGGATAACTTCTTTTTTTTCATTATCGGACCCCTTTCCCATTGCATTAATACAAAATCCAATTCGCAGTTTTTCCTATGCATGCAACAAAAATAAATAATGCCAATATGTCGACGGGAATCTAAAAAAATGTGCGTGCATAATTGTTGAATAGAAGTGATGACTGAGTGGAAAATGATTTGTTCAAATCCCGCAGTAGCATGAGTGTGAGTGTGTGTACGTGTGTGTGTGTGTGTGTGTGTGTGTGTGTGTGTGTGTGTGTGTGTGTGTGTGTGTGTGTGTGTGTTGGGGGGGTGAGTGTGTGGGCGCCGCAAGAACGTGTTAATTAATAGCCGGCTGAATAAAGAAGAAGCAAGCAAAAAAAAAAAAAAACTGCAATCAACAATTAATTTAGTTTGTGAATGAGATTCAAAGGAGTGGTGCAGCCATGAAAAGTGTAATTCTCTATTTGTGTGTTTGTCTGAGTGATCCGCTCAGTGTGCTTTCTGCATCGACTTTATCGGAGCCGGAATTTAGTAGCGTAAAGAACTTGAGGAGTCCCTTGAGACGTCACCCATGGTCCTAGATTAGCTGCTAAACTGCACATAATCGTCTTTCCAATCATCTCCCCCAGAGTCATTAGCCTCCTCTTTAAAACCCACCGACCCCAATGAGGTGAGCTGCGGTGGGTGGGGGAAAGGGGTGGTGATGGGGTGGGGGGCATTTGAAATTGTTAGTCACACTCTCTTGCCAAAGTTGCATCAAAGTGCCGAGTTAAAACAACGACCAAAATACACTTTCCGTGGAACGTGCACGCTTGGTGTCCAAGTGTGCGATTTCGATCGCTTTCTCTCCCAGTGTCATGGCCGACTGACGATCGGGTCATTTATCCTCCTCATCAAGGTTGGATACATGCATGATGCCAGGCTAATGCTCTTTTAATGGGCCCAAGAAGGTCCAGCTGGATAAGCGGTCACGGTAGAATATGAGGCGAGCGTTGCATTGTATAAGTCAGCGCCGATAAACCCCTTGAAATGATGGATGGCTGTGTACATTGCCGGATGGCAGGTGGATGCCTTTGGCGCCACCGTGCAGCCCCCGCTTACCTCTGCTTGCTCCTCGAGGCTTACAGTATTCTTTTTGGGAAATTGTTCCGACGCACACGCGTACGCTTATTTCTGTGCACAAAGAGTCTCCACCGGACCCCCCCCCTCCCCCTCCC